AGAGGGGGTGTGGGGTGGGGGGGATGGTGCTGCCGTGGCCCCTGCTGAGATGTGCCCGTGCTGTTGCAGGTGATGGGCATGGTCCGTGTCCCCCTCTACACCCAGAAGGATCGCATGGGCGGGCTGCCCAACTTCCTGGCCAACTCCTTCGTAGGAACCGCCAAGTTCCAGCTCCTGTTTGCCCTGAAGATCCTGAACATGGTGCCGGAGGAGAAGCTGGCTGAGGCGGTGGCTGCCACACAGAGGCCGAAGAAGGCGGCCATCGACCATGCCGGAGGGGCAGCAGGACACCTGGCTGCCCACAAGGCGGGCAATGAGCTGGCTAAAGCGGGCAACGAGCTGGGAGAGAGGGCAGAGCACCCGGGCATGGTGCACGCGGGGGCCGAGCAGCAGCTGGTGGGGCTGGAGGGCCAGGCCCTGGCGGAGCAGCTGGCGGGGGCCGAGGCGCTGGAGCAGTCAGTGGGGCTGGGCGCTGATGCTGTGGCGGAGCAGGCGGTGGCCGAGGTGATGGAGTGATGCCGCCGTGTTGGCGCTCAATTAAAAGTGGGTGAGCTGAGAGACTTCTAACTTTCCGACCCGTGGCTGGCTGCAGTGGCTGCCCACGAGATCCCACTGCCCAGCCGGGAGGGGTTGGGTTTGTCTAAAGCAGGGAAAAGCAATTTTATTTTTATGGCCATTAAACTCTTAGCGAGCTTCCCAGATCAACCTGCACAGCCCCTGCAGAGAGTTCATGTGCTTATGTGAGGGCGCCAGAGCCTTAGAATTGCGCTTTGATTTCAGGGACACACTGCTGCTGTCAGGTCCCCCTTTCGTTTGTAAGGAACAAAACATCAAATTTTTTAAATGCCCCGTCTTGACTTAGATGTCGCTGTGTTGGCTTTGGGCACAGCTGAGGCCTGGGGCTTTCAGTTAAGCACCTCTGCCCATGATAGTGGCCGGGCTCCCACGCGGGGTGTTGGCACAATGGGGCAGCTGTGCCATGAATTCCCTCTGGGGTGTTGGGGATGCTCATGTGGGTCCCTATCTGGAGATCTGTGGGAGAAGGAAAGTGGAATAAATGGCTTTGCTGAAAGTTTAACACTCGGGATTGTTCTTGAGGGCACCCAGAGCTGGGCAGGTGCAGGGTTGGGGAGCACAGAGGCCAGAGGTGAAGGGCTGGAGCCATGGGTGGCAGGAGAGGTGTGGGCTGATTCAGGTGCTGCACCACTACAGCTCCTGAGAGTTTGGATTGCTCCAGAATGGCTTGTGCTTCCCCAGGCTCCAGGCTGGGAGCAGTTTGTCCCAGGTGCAGGAGGGGCCTTGAAGTGGCTGAAGTGGGGACAGCCAGTGAAGAGCCCAGCACTGCAGCAGCACATGGCCCCATCCATTTCAGCAGAGCCTTAGGAAAATCCACCCATCCTGCAGGAATGTTGGAAGGGCAGGCTCAGCCCTGGAAGAGCTGCTTCCCGTTCCCTGTCCTGTCCCCCCTCTACCTGCTCCAAGCTCAGCCCTGGCCTGGAGCAGGAGCAGCTCCCCCAGGATCCCCCCAGCCCCTCAGAGAAGGGTCTGTGGTCACCCTGCCATGGGGCAGAGAACAAGCAGCTGGTCAGAGGCAGATTCTCTGCAGGGACAGACAACTCAAAAAAGAGGTTTGGTTTAATTGAAGACATTTAGCGAGAGGTTGTTCAATAAATAAAGGGCTAAGGTGGGGACAGGGCTGACACCTCAGGACAGGGTGACAGGAGGACACACAGACCAGTCACAGCTCTCTTGGGATGTGTACTTGGAGTACTGGAGTTGGATTGTGTAAGGGGCAGGAGAGAAACGGGACACAGACACACATCAGCCCCAGGCAGTCAGGAGAGAAGAGCTTCATTCTGGTCCAGAGAAAGCAAGTGCTGAGAAAAAACAGGGGCTTGGGCTGCTAAAACTCTCAACTAACAGATGTGTTAAGTGAAAGTGGATAACCAAAAATACCCCAAACTGGTAACAACTGAGGCTGGAGAGGTGTCAGGGGCCCTGAGGAAGCACTGGGGCTGGGGGAGGAGCTGCCTGCCCAGTGCCACCCACACTGCTGAACAGAGACATCACACAGGATGGAAGAGGCCCACTCCAAGGGCAGCCCTGGCCTCTTAGGGCTTGATGGTGTCAAAGGCTGGACTTTCCATCAGGACCCTGTTTGACTCTTCATGAACACCTCTTTACCTTGTCTTTGAGCCCCTGAAGGAGCAGCACCTCCCAGAACAGCCTGGTGCTGCTCAAAGACATCAAATGTGTCAGCCCCTGAGGCTGCCTGCTCTCCAGCCTGGAAATGAGATGCAGGAGCAACTCATTTCCTGCATCCTTTTATTACTGAACTCCCACCCAGGGGCTTAGTTACTGACAGGGCTTTCTGTGCCCATCCAGGCTGCAAGGTTATCATGTGCTTGTTGGCTCTTCTAAGGCCCAGCCCGAGCCCTGTGTCACCCCCAGTCCCTGCCAGAGCTGGCAGTGCCAGCCCATCCCTGCTCTGGCATGGATCCCTCTGCTCCAGTCCCAGTTAAAAAAGGAGGTGGGAATAACACGCTGCTGAGAGGGGAAGAGCCTTGGCCAGGGAAGGGGGATTTGCCATGGGAATGTAGCAGGGCTCCCGGCCTGGCTGCAGCTCCGGGGCCTCCACACAGGCAGCACATGAACTGCTCAGTCCAGCCAGAGGGTCCTGCAGCCAGGACACAGGCAGCCAGCGAGAGACTGCCCAGCACAGCCCAAAGCACGACACTGAGCAGCTGGGGGATCTTCCTCAGCAAGGAAAGGGGTGTTGTGATCTGTGCACACATCCCATCCCTCAAGAGCCTGCAAAGTCCAGCCTGGTGCCAGGGAAAGGGAGAAGGGCTCAGGACCAGACTCTACACTCCAAGCTCCCTGCCCCTGCTACATTCCATCCTGGACAAAGGCAGAAAGATCTATACAGTATAATACATATATATTTCACTATGAAATAGCAATTTCATTCCCTGCCTTCTACTTTATGCATCCTGAATTATATAGTTCTTTGTACATCACTCCAGAGGGCTGGTGGGGCTGGGTAGTTTCTCATGCGAGGCAGTTGCTCTCCCTGGAAGTTACCCACAGGACGCACCAGCAGCTGATGTGGCAGGACCTAAACATGATTCCCATTCCCTCCCTTTCCCCTCCCTCAGCCACCCCCTTCCCCAGCAACAAGGGCAGACTCTGCCCGGGCAGGGGGGACCTGCCGGGGCTCTCCCAGTTGATGAAAGTGGTTCCTCAGTGCGGATCCATGAACCTCCCTCAGCTGCTCTCAGCAGCTGTGGATGGAGCGGGAGCAGCAGCTGAGCCCTGGACACCCCGGCTGTGGGGAGGAGCAAACCGGGGCAGGGAAGTGGCGGGGACAGTGCAACATGCACGGAGTGGTGACACCGAGGGCCCGCGGCTGCGGCACGGCCAGGCCCACCCAGCCCATGTGGGGAGCCGGGGCTGCAGCCCCAGGGTGGAGTTCTACCAAAGGTCATTCCCTGTGGAGCAGGGAGTCCCATCCGCGGGCTGGGTCACCGGCCAAGAGCTGTCATCACTGGAACCAGTGCAGAGCCAGGTGTCAGGTGGAAGGAGAAACAATCCTATGGAAAGAAAAGAGGGCAGATGTTTTAGGGAAACACTTAGGGAGAGTGTGCTGGGCAGCCACTGTCCTGGAAATGTCAGACATGTGCAATGGCACTGGCAGCAAATGGGGCTTCCAGTTACTGTGCTGGGACTCTGAGGGCTCAGGCACTGCTCCAGCAGCTGGGAAAAGGAAAGGACAGCAGGTTCCACCTGCTATTGGGGTTTGGGCTCAATTAAACAAGGTCAGAGCTTGATTTCCCTTCAAATGAAACCAGCAGAAGCTCAGCTGCTGTCTGGAGCTGGAGCACAGCCATGCCCACACAGCTTCCACAGCAGCAGGACGAGGATCCAAGATCTCAAGGTTCACTCCAGGATCTCTGTCACAGAACAGTGGCCGTGGCAGGGAAGGGAGCTGTCCCCAGCACCCACCTGTGCTTCCTGTGCACCCCCAGTCCGTCACATTGTCCGGCTGTACTCGATGCTGCTCTTGGCAGAAATGCCAGACCAGGGCAGGAGGCTGCAGAGGAGGCTCTGGGCTTGTCTGTATATCCTCTGGGGAATGGAGCACGGGCTCAGGCTGGCTAGTGTGGAGCCAATGTGCTGTAGGTAGTCAGTGGCCACCAGTTAAGGACAGCAACACTTACACTGTAACTTAGCAAAGAACGTAAATCACTCCTGGACCTGCCCTGCCTGCAGGGACCCCTGACACAGTGGAAGCTGTTCAGCCCAGTCAGATCTGCTCCTTGTAATCATTGCCTCCACCTTTCTACCAGCAGGAGATCTGCTCTGCCCTGTAAGGGATGGCGATTTGGAAATGGCAGCTCCAGCTTGTGTGGGAAATACCTCCCCTAGGCAGCTACCAGTTCCCTTTGCACTGCACAGAAAATCCTGTGAGGATAGCAATCCATCCACCTGCCCAGGAAGGTTGGAACTGACCAGCTACACCCAGGAAGGATCAAGTTTCTTCTCCATGATCCATTGACCCAAAACAAACCCCCTAAGTCAGTGTGGGAGCAGCCTGCTGAGATCCAGGCCAGCCCAGGCTCACAGGGGATCCCAGGTCACAGGAACAAAGACCACGGGTTTCTCTGCCCTGTTCCTGGCCAAATCCTGCACCCTACAAGCCAAAGCACACCCAGCACTTTGGCCTAACACCAACACTTGCTCTCACTGGCATCCAACATGCTCCAACCATCCTACATCAAATAACTCTAACAGCCCCTTCTTTCCAGCTCCAGATTAAACCCACATGTGAGCAGGTTTCAGTTCCCATATAATTTTGCTGTTGTTAACCCAAAACAGGGTTTGCCTCTGCTCAGCAGCCTGCAGGGAAAGGATATAAGATTGTCCAGGGTGGGTGCCCACCGTTGATGTACAGGACGTAGGTGAAGCCATCCTTGAGGACCCCTCGGATGGAATAGTAATAGGGGAGATAGTGGTGCTGTTTAAAGTCTCTGTTTTCATAGAAGTTTATTGCTGTGTTGTTGGTGGTGAGCACGTGCAGGTAGATGGCTTTGCAGTGGTCCTGGGCAGTGGTGGAAATGTGATCTTTCAGACTCTCAAGCAAGAGGGAACCTGTTGAAGGGAAGGCAGCAGGATCACAGTGTGTGTGCAGCCCCAGGGACCCTCAGTGTGAGGGTGTGGGGCCCAGCTGAGCCCTTTTGCACCAGGATTGTTCACTAGGGATTGCTGCACACACCTGGAAACCCCAAATCCCACCCAGTTCTCACAGGAACTTCCTACATGGTTTTCATACATGGTCTCACCTATGAGCTCGGCTTCAAAACCCAGAGATTTTAAAGACACAAACCTCTGACTCAATAACCACAAGGATGAGGCAGTACCTTGACAATAGTGTCCATCCCCAGCAGAGCAACTCCTGACTTTGGGGAAGGTCAGTGACTCATTTTCAATGGTATCAGTTCCACCCCTTACATGTATTTATTTGAAAGCCATTTGATACAGCAGAGTGTCAAAACAGGACTCCACAAGCAGGTTATTGTTTTGCGTCTGCTGAATTTGAATCAAAATCTAAGAACTGCTGGAATTTTAAGATGCCATGTAAGGAGGAGTGGAGACAATCTCATCCAATCTGGATTTGCTGCAGCCAGCAGGAAAAACCAGAGAAGGGTACAGAGGATACTCCAGCCCCAAGAGACAGGACGTGGGGGTTCATCCACAAAACCTCAACATGGCATGAAGGACCCAGCAGAACCTGCATGGGAACTTCTTCCAGCAGGTGTGGTAAGACCAGGCTCAAGAATCAGCCTGGTAACACACAGGAGAGATGGCTGCTGCTGTTTCACAATCCCCAGCACCTGGAGGACCCACAGGATTTCAGAGCAGAAGTCAACAGCACTGACTTCATGTTCTCTTGATACTTAGTGAGAATATGTATTAGCCAAGGCAAAAAACCACTGAGACATCGACAACAGAGCAGTTCAATTTTGTTATGAGATATTCCAGTCTTCTACCTCACAGAAATGCAGTTGTCCTGTGGTT